ATCCACGGTAGGGAGGAGTGTGGCCGTACTTGCCCTGGCGTCCCCGGGCAGGCCAAGGTGCTCTCCCTGCGGGGCGTGTCCCTGGAGACGTGGACTGGAACTAGCCGCAGGTTGGACCTCTCCGGGCCGGCGCCCTCGGGGCGTGACCAGTTCCCAACCTGAGGATTTGCTGGACCACGGGAGTGGCATTGCCCGCTGCTCCCTGGCTCTGAGAAGGCATCTAGGGGCAAACCAGAGCTGAGTAATGGCCCAGACCTGGGAGCCAGGCCTGGTGGCTGGATGCAACCCTTATGGGACTGCGAGAAACTTGGCCAGCCCGGTGAAAAACGGCACCCGGCTAATTCAAATACTCCCAGGAGAGGGGTGTTTCCGGAGCAGGGAGGGCCGGCCACCCCCGCGGCAAGCCCCTAGCTCCCAGCACTGGGCCCCGGCTGCATAGTGAGCGCTCTGGGCACGCGCTGGTGGCCTGCATCCGCCCCGCCCGTTCTCAGCCGCTTCCGTAACAGGCCTAAGGCCGCCTGGCCCGCGGGGAGCCCAGCAAAGCCACTTCCCCGCCTTCCTTTGGCAGACACGGAGAAAGGGTTTGTGATGCTGTTGGGGCTGGAAGAATACACGGATTCCGCCCTGGTCCCCAGGGGCTTGTCCGCGGTGACCTCAGTTGGCCTTTTCGGCCGGGCCCGATCCCTCCACCGGCCCCGGCCCCCTTCCCCATGCACACGAGGCGGGACGGGCTCTTGTTGGGCAGGGGCTGCCTTAGGCCAGTCACCCCGGCCAGCGCCTTGGAGGCGGGGGCCTGAGCCCAGGACTAGGGTGTTGGGGGCATAATCCCAGGATGCCACAGCCGTGTCCTGACCTCAGTTGGCCTTTTCGGCCGGGCCCGATCCCTCCACCGGCCCCGGCCCCCTTCCCCATGCACACGAGGCGGGACGGGCTCTTGTTGGGCAGGGGCTGCCTTAGGCCAGTCACCCCGGCCAGCGCCTTGGAGGCGGGGGCCTGAGCCCAGGACTAGGGTGTTGGGGGCATAATCCCAGGATGCCACAGCCGTGTCCTGCAGCCGGGATCTTACAACCCAAGGCTGAGCTCTCCCAGAGATGAGAGATTCTGGGGGTGCAGCCGGAGTGTCCTAAAGCCCCCCCGCCCGTCTGCTTTGGACACCAGCCCCGGAGCGCGGCCAGCGCCTTGGAGGCGGGGGCCTGAGCCCAGGACTAGGGTGTTGGGGGCATAATCCCAGGATGCCACAGCCGTGTCCTGCAGCCGGGATCTTACAACCCAAGGCTGAGCTCTCCCAGAGATGAGAGATTCTGGGGGTGCAGCCGGAGTGTCCTAAAGCCCCCCCGCCCGTCTGCTTTGGACACCAGCCCCGGAGCGCTGGACCCGTTCTGATCTCGGGGGCACCAGCCGGCGAGGTCACTCCGGGGGCCGTCCCCTCCCACACAGAACCGGCACCCGGCTCTTCCCCTGCAGCCGAAATGGCGCAGCCCGAGCCTCGCCGGCAGAGCAATACAAAGACGCAGGGGTGCCAATGCCCATGTGACTCATCAGGGTGCAGGCTGGAGGGGCCGCTGGCCGGGAGCGGGCCGGCTCTCGGTCGGGACTCCTGTGACCTCTCCAGCTGGCCCTGCGCTTTCCTTGCAGCTACGACCTGGTTAATTACATCCATCTCTCGGACTTCCCCCGGCGATCCCACATCAACTACTTCATTCTGTCCTACGTGGGCGAGTTCGTGTGTGTGACGCAGTCGGAGGAGGTAGGCCGCTGTGGCTCGTGGGTGGAGCTGCCGGCACTTCACTTGCCTGGAGGCAGCGTGGCCTAGGGGCTAGTTCCCGGGCCTGGGGTGAGCTCAGCTGTGTTCTAGGGGGTACACGGCCGCTCTGCCCCTGCCCGCTGTCTCGGGCTCAGGCTAGGGGGCTGTTTCACTGCTGGCTTGAGGCGGGGGGGGTCCCAGAGCCTGGGCGCCAGGAAGTCTGCACTGCGGTGGAGCCAGCCAAGGGTTTTCCTTCCCCCTCGGTAAAATGGGGTGAATGGGATGGCCCTGCGCTGAGAGCTAGTGAGGAATGGGTCTGTACGCTCATCACTGGTGTGGCAAAAGTGAACAAGGAAAAGTTATTGACTCATTCCCACACTATAAGAACGAGGGGTCACCCAAGGAAATGAACAGGCGGCAGGTTTCAAGCAAACCAAAGGAAGTTTTTCTTCACTCAGTGCAGTTAACCTGTGGAACTCCTTGCCAGAGGATGTTGTGAAGACTGGGACTTAACAGGGGCCAAACAAGAGCTAGCTAGATTCATGGAGGCTAGGTCCATCAACGGCTATTAGCCAGGCGGGGTAGGAATGGTGTGCCCAGCCTCTGTCTGGGATGGATGACAAGGGAGGGATCACGTGAGGATTCCCTGCTGTGTCACCTCCCTCCTGGGCGCCTGGCGCTGGCCACTGTGGGCAGACAGACACTGGGCTGGATGGGCCTTTGGTCTGGCTAAGCTGATGTTCTTCTGGGTGGTGTAGCCCCTTGCGAGGGCGCCAGGACGCGGCTCACTAGTCTGCCCCCGCCCGCATGGCTAGCGCAAGGCCCGGCACAGAGCGCCTGGCGCTCCGAACCCAGGAGTCCTGCGGGGGCTGCACTTGGCTGAAGAGAGCTCGGGCAGGGTGGCGGTCCCTTAGAGCCAGCTGCCGTCTCAGCAGGGGCCGCGGGGAGCCCCTCTGGAAAGCCCTCCGCAGGGAGCCTGCCGAGATCTGGGCTCTTCAGGCTGGTGCCCTTTGGCTCTCTAGATCTGGTTTGCAGTGGAAGGCAGCTCTGCCATCAGTCGCCTGTACCCCTCCGAGGCCTGGAGCGTGTACCTCAGCCTGCAGCTCATGAGCGGGTCCAAGGACTTCGGCTTCAACGAGACGTTTGTGAGCCTCTTCTTTAACGAGGACGGGCTGCAGCAGGTGAGGGGGGCCGGCTGGCTCCCGCGGGGTTAACTCCACCGTGCTGCCAAGCGGAGGGACTCCATTTGCACCGTGGGGCTACCCCTGACTGGCACCCGTGTAGATGAGATCGGAAGTGAGAGGCACCTCCAGGGCTCGCGCCGGGAGGGCTGCCCAGCTGCCCCACTGCAAGAGGCATGGCCAAGTGGCCCATTTCCACACAGGTCTGAGCCCGATTCCCGCTTGGATCCCAGAGCCTCCCGCCAGCCCCTGCCCTGTGCAGCCTGAAACCTGCCAGACCCGCTGTTCACCCCTCCACTGGTGCCAGGCTGAGCTGAGCTTCCCTCGCTCTCCGGGTAGCTGGTGAATCAGGAAAGACACCCCTCCCCCCGCCCAAGGGGCCGTGACCGTCTCTGAGCCGGGCAGCCAGGCTAGGATCCCGGCCCATGCGCCTGTCCTGGAGTAGCTGTCGCGCTGCCTCCGCTCTCCCGGCCCACTGGGAGCCAGACGCTGCTTCTGAGCAAAGCCCCAGGCCTGCCTCTGAGTCCTCCTGGGCCTACGACTCAGTTTCCCTTCCTGAGTGCGCTGCGGATTTACGCCGCTGGTGAATCAGGAAAGACACCCCTCCCCCCGCCCAAGGGGCCGTGACCGTCTCTGAGCCGGGCAGCCAGGCTAGGATCCCGGCCCATGCGCCTGTCCTGGAGTAGCTGTCGCGCTGCCTCCGCTCTCCCGGCCCACTGGGAGCCAGACGCTGCTTCTGAGCAAAGCCCCAGGCCTGCCTCTGAGTCCTCCTGGGCCTACGACTCAGTTTCCCTTCCTGAGTGCGCTGCGGATTTACGCCAGGGTATTGCCGGAGCCCCACGAGCCCCGGCTGGGGCCAGCCAGAGAGCGTCTAAGAACAGCCTCCCCTGTCAGTAGCTTCTGGCCACTGAGGAGCAGATGGTGGCCAGGTGACCGGGGTTGCCTGGAAGCTGGGCCCTCAGGCGGCTCAGGAGTCATTCGGGTGCTGCCCAGCTGATGAGCAGTGCACGCCTGGCCGGCAGCCTGTGTTTCTCCTGGTGGTGCACATCCACACAGGCCTCGGTGCACGTCGCAAAATGTATTCCGCACAGGGCTGGAAACAGTTCGATTTCCTGCCCTCGCCTCTCGTTTCAGCTGGTTTACATAAGGGATGGAGACAAGGAGAAGGAGGGAAAGCTAATCAAGAGGAACTTCCCTGTCCATTATATCCTGACCTACCAGCAGCTCATCTACAGCCAGTACCGCTCCGTTTATTTCAAGTGAGTCGCGATATGGGCTGGCCGGGGGCAAAGACGCTTCCAGCGCTGCTGGGGCTAAGGCGGGGCTGCCAGCTCTGGCTGCGTCCTCGTTCCCAGGCCTCAACGCGCTTACGAAAGGGCGCCCGGTCGTTCCCCGGGACGGGCTGGCCCAAGGTCACCCAGCAAAGCAGCAGCAGGGCTGGGAATGGAAGCCAGATCTCCCGCGTGTGTGGTCTGCCAGGCAACAGAGATCCTGGGGCCCATCCTGCCTTGTGCTCAGCACCTGGGAGTGGTCCGATCCGGGCAGGCTGGGATGCAGGTGCAGCCTCAAGGCCTCTTCTGGGTGTAACCTGATCCCGCCGCTCCCCTTGGCTGTGAGCAGTGTGGGCCGCATGACACGCGGCTGAAAGGTCCGTCCAGTGCCCGTGCTCCACCCGCCCCCGTCCGGCCCCATGCCCGGGTGGCCGGTGCCAGCCCGCCCTGGTGCCTGTGTCCCCTTGTTGCTTAGTGACGTGCACTATATCAAGTTCTTCCAGTCCTGCTCCTTCTCCACCATGCGCTTCAAGGACCTCCCCGCCCCGCAGCGCTTCACCCGGATGGAGCACTACCGCACCGAGCCGCCCGACGTCATGCAC